AAAATCCTGGGACCCCTTTCCTAATATACATACGAATGATAGCAAGAGTACTCTATTTGGCCCTTTAAGCTGAATAACCTCAACTCCACATTCCTGCCTATACCTGAAAAATTTCCATCCCCTTGCTGACCAGAAATGTACCCGCCATTACTTTGAAGATGTTCACGGGCTTCCACCACTTTTTGAGGAACAGAGCCCCAAAGACTCACCACCCTCAGAGAGAGAATTTCTTGTCATCCCTGTCTTAAATGGGCTACACCTGATTTTTTTAAGCAGTGATCCCTAGTTCTAGATTCCCCCACAAGAAGAAGCCTCCTTTCCACATTCGCTCTGCACAGACCCCTCAGGATTTTGTAAGTTTTGTTCAAGACATGTCTTATTCTTCCAAACTCAAGTCAATACAGGCAGTCCCTGGGTGATAACCACATGAGTATGTTCGTAAGTTACTTTGTATGTATGTTGCATGCTCATAATTAAGAGTACTATGGGATCTTGCTTGTACATACCAGTGTTTGTAAGTCAGACATTGTCCAATGTTTCCTCATAAGACAACCTACTCTAACAGCACTGTGGGTGCACCCACACACTGCAATGATGCAATATTCAAGATGGCAACTTTCTCAATCCTTCTCAAGGGTTTTTAGGCAGTAATTGCTGGCCTAATCTGCAATGTTCACATCCTGGGAATGGATAGTTTTCAAAATTGACGTATTATCATGGAGTGTTAGCATAACCATCTAACATTTTGTTTCAAATCTTAGGTTGGTAAGAATTATTTTCCAGAAATAAAGCCATTAGTTGGCAGAATGAACATGGAATAGGATACTAGCAAGGTCAGGAAAAGGAGTACAGATCCTGGATGAAAATGAACAGCATCCCATTCAGGACAGATGACAACTGAGAAAACTGTGAACTTGAACTCTGAAACGGTGAACTTGAAATCAACTGCAGAACATTGTAAATAAACATGAAACTTGTCAAAAACTAGTAATACCGAACTCTGCAAATTGAATTCAATGTCGATAAATTTAATGTGTTTGTGTCTAACACACTTTTATTGGAAATTTCTATTTAGTGCTTTCTTTGCAGTATATCAAAGTAAAGAAAGTAATTGGGAATAAATAATTTTCCAATTTTTCACTATGAGGTTCTTCGATAAGGAAATCCTTTGGTCTCCTGCAACAATGCCATCTGCAGAACATCATTCCCTTACTGTGATAGTGGGAGTTTCATTTCTTTAGGAATTGTCATGTTGCAGTCAAGTCAAACAGGATGAGAGGGAGAGAGACAGAGAAACAGAGGAAGAGACAGCAAGAGAGAGACAGACATAGATAGAGACAAGACTCTCCTTCCATCAGTCTAGAATGAGGTATCGGAGGTTAAGAGATTATCAAACCCCCAAAGGACTTTGAGGATGGATTAAATAAAAATGCAAACTGCTGAAAATCCATAGCATAACTGACAGCATCAGTGGAGAGAAAAGATGAGTTTAGGATTTCAGCTATGGGCTCTTCAAGTTGCTTAACGCAGTAACTTGTAATTTTCTACTGCAGTAATCTTCCAGTTGTGAGGAGTTTCTAAGTGTTCTGTTTGGCATAGTTTCCTGTTTTCAAGTCTTCTCCTGAAAACTTGGCTCCTAAATGCAAGGAAATTGGACAAGGAAATAAATTCCAATTAAAACCATGGATGAACGGAAGGCCGTTACTAGTAAGGCTTGTGCTCCTTTGTGTCTCACAGTGTTGTGTTATGCTGGCTGCTCCTGCATACAGGTTGCCCTTGATAATAGCAGTGGGTTGAATGGGCCCTCAGGCAGTGCTGACTACTTGCCCAACAACAAAAAAATTAATCCGTTCCAATAAAATTAGTTTATGCAAAAAAAAACTGACAGGAGAGAAAGAGAGCGAGGAATAGGGGATAAAAAGCTTCCTTGCCACCCCTGCAGCTCACTCCTGCTCCCCTCTGTCCAAAATAATTCTCACAATGAAGGGTAGGGTCTCTATCAGGTGTGGCAGGATCAAAATATCTGGCCTTGAGAAATTAAGGAGCACCATATTCAGCAGGACAATAGAACCATTAACCCCTTACGTCTTGCTAAGATTAAAATTGGCTTGACAACCAAGAAACGGGGCCCTGGTGTTGCTACTGCCATTAAAAGTATACTTACATTCGCACTGCTGTTTCTGAAATGCTAGCTGTGACTGGAGGTAATCTCATTTGATGCCAGGGAATGGGGTGGAGGGGGTACAGGCACATAATGTGTCCCGTTGATGGTTTACATCGAGAATTAAAGATATAATAATGATTATAATGGTGCCAAAAAGAGCTAACAGTCAGAGGATTGAGCAGATTTTAGAATTCAGCAGAGGACAAGAAATTGATAAGGTGAGAGAATGTGAGAGTGTAAAGAGATATGAGAACAGATTGCAAACTATTCCATTGGTATTGCAATGGAAAGAGATTGCTGCAAGTAAACATAAGCCCATCAGAGGCAGGGATAAGTGAATGGGGAATGATGGGGAAAAAGGAAATGGGAGAGACATGTTTTATTCTTTCACAGGATGAGGGCGTTGCTGGCTAGGCAGCATTTATTGCCCATCCGTAATTACCCAGAGGGCAGTTAAGAGTCAACCACATTGCTGTCGGTCTAGAGTCACATGTAGGTCAGACCAGGTAAGGATGGGAGTTTCTTTCCCTAAAGGACATTATTGAACCAGCTGGGTTTTTCTCAACAATCAACAATGGATTCACGGACATCATTAGATTCTTAATTCCAGATATTTATTGAATTGAAATTCCACCATCAGCCATGGCGGGATTCAAACCTGAGTCCCCAGAATGTCATCTTGGTCTTTGGATTAACAGTCCAGCGATAATACCACCAGGCCATCGCCTCCCCAAAATCTGACAGGATATTAAACAAGCACTTTGCATGCGTCTTCATGGTAGAAAATGCAAAAGATATTTTGAAAATAATGCAGAATCAAGGTTCTAATAAGAATGACGAATGAAAGGTGATAAATCCCCAGGGCCTGATAACCTACATCCCATAGGACTAAAGGAGGTGCCCAAGGAAATAGTGGATGTGTTGGTGGCATCTCGGAAAATTCTGTAAATTCTGGAAGAACCCTGGAGGATTGGAGGATAGAAAATAAAACCCCTTTAATGAATAAAAGAGGGAGGGAAAAACCTGGAAATTCTTGTTTGGTTTAGCCAAACATCAGCAGCAGGCAAAAACTATTATAAAGGATGTGATAAGCCACAACTGACTGGGCTAGTGCTAGAAATCAGGTCCCACTATTCCTGCAAATGTCACAAAAGTTAATGATTTTAAAGTAAGTACATAAGATTCCCTAATTTACCTGATTTTCAGACGCAGGTAGATAGAAATTTTGGACCAGGTTTCTGTAGTCCACAATAATTACTATTTATTGCTAATAATTAGACGCTAGCTATAGGCAAATAGCTATATGGTATCGGCATACAACAATACAAATGAAAACTCTAATTCCCTTATAAACTCTCCCTTACCCACACAGATAGACAAACAGACAGGGACAAAAGTTTACAGGTAGAGAAAATCTGGCAGGCAGATCAGTGATTTCTATTCACAGGTTACTGAAGTGATCCTTATAATTCTCTTATTCTAGTCAGCACATTGCTTTTCAGTCATCTTTCTCCAGATGCTTTCACTGGTTTGCAAAAGACACAGGTGGCTGGTTCATTTATAAAATGTCTCTGACTAATCTGTTAAATGTCAACGTTTGCAAAAACTCCTTAAAGAAAGATAAACCGGTTTTCTTCAGGTTTAAAATGGGTTTTGGCTCTGGAGAACAGACAGACAGGTCCTGAGCTGGTGGAGATCAAAAATCACTACTCTCTGAATCTCGCACCCAGCCCCAAGCTGTTCAATTGTCAGAGAACTAATCACACGGTTGTGGGCAGGCCAAACGCTTTTGTCATCAGTAACTGGTCGCTAGTCTATAAACCAATCAACTTCTTGTTGCTGCCCAACAGCATCTATACACAACCCCTCAGCTCCAGTTCATCTACAATCAAACTTCATGTACTGCTTATTCAAATAGCTGCACAAACACAACGCTTTCCACCAATGTCAGATCAGTTGTTTTTCAAAACATGCAGCAATCCTTTCAAACAGTAGTGTTAAAACAATTCTACCTCATTTCACTTCACAATGTCATTAGATTAGTCATTCAGAGCTCATGCTGTTGACACACACATTCAAATTCCACTACGGCAGCTGGTAGAATTTAAATTTAATTTTAAAAATCTGGAATTAAAAACTGGTCTCGGTAATAGTGACCAAGAAGTCATCATCGTTGTTTTAAAAATCCATCTGGTTCACCAACGAACTTTATTGCCCTTACCCAGAGCGGCCTACATGTGAACTCAGCCCCACAGTAATGTGGATGAATCTTAACTGCCTTCTGAAATGGCCCAGAAAATAAGATTCTTAGAGGACTTGGCAGGGTAAGACACGGAAAGTTGTTGCCCTTTGTAGAAGAGTCTAGGACCATAAGGTATAATCTCAAAATAAGCGCTTGCACATTTTAGACATAGGAGAAATTTCTTCTCTCAGAGGGTTGTGGATGTATGGAGTTCTTTACCGCAGAGGGGTGTTGAGGTTGGGTCATAAAGTATATTCAGTGCTAAAATAGACAGATTTTTAATCAGGAAGGGACTCAATGGTTGTAAGGAAAAGGCAGGAAAGTGGACTTGAGGATTATCAGATTAGCCACTGAATGGCAGAACTGACTCAATGGGCTGAGTGACTTACGTCTGCTCCTATGCCCTATGGTATTAAATCACTCAATTTAGGGACAATTAGAAATAGGCAAAAATGCTTATCTTGCTGATGATACCCACGTTCCCTGAAAAAAGTATGCTTTAAAAGAAGTGGCTTTACAGGTAGCTCTCTCTGAGCAGCTGCAATGGGATTGGGAGTGTAGGAGATTGGTTTTCAGTGTGGAACGCTGCTGGAATAATATAATCTCACCACTGGCTAACTTGAAGAGAAGAATGTTACCCTGATGTACGATATTTTTCAATTTTCTCTTATGAAGGCTTGAGAGCTGACCTTGGAGTCTTTTTTTAAAGCACTTCGTGAGATGCGAGAATTATCAGCAAGGCAGTGTTTACAAAATGAAGGATTGAAGTCAAGTGTAACCAGTATAGGATGGGTTGCAGGATGTCTTTGCTGAAAGACATTGATAAGACCAGTTGGGGTTTTTATGACTCTTTCAGGCTATTTCAAAGGGCAGTTAAGAGTGGTGGGTCTGTAGTTTCATGGTCAGTGTTACTGGCACTAACTCCCAACTCTACATTTTGTTGAATAAGTTTGAACTCCACAAGCTGCCATGGTGGAATCTGAACTGCTGACCCCTGAGCATTAGCCTGGGCCTTTGGGTTAGTAGTCCAGTGACGTTTACCACGATGCCATCTTCTCTGTATGCAAATACTGAATGAGTATCAAATCAGGTTCAGTTCTCTGATGGCTTGACTCAATTGGAAAGAGGAAGTTCCAACAGGCTCATCCTCTGTGGAGAGACGAGAGACTAGAGTCATAGAGTCAGTCAGCACGGAAACAGACCTTTCGCTCCAACGAGTCTATGTCGCTCATAATCCCAAACTAAACTAGTCCCACCTACCTGTGCTTGGCCTCCAAACACTTCCTGTTCATGTATGTATCTAAATGTCTTTTAAACGTTGTAACTCTACACACATCCAGCACTTCCTCTAGAAGTTCATTCCACACAAAATATTGTCTTTTTAAAATCTTTCTCCTCTCACCTTAAAAATATGCCCCCTAGTGTTGAAATCTCCCACCCTAGGGAAAAGACACCAGCCATTCACTAATTAACTTAATGCCAATTGTAGGGAGATCTACCATGGTACCAGGGTGCCCATCATGGGTAGATGTGCACAAAGAGAGATGGACCTTTTAGGACTGATCTCATATTCTACCCAGTCAAAGATGTACTCATGAAAAAGAGCTTTACGTTGGCGGAATAACCCTGAACTGCGATCATGCTGGAAACTAGAAGGATTATATCCATTGCTCACTTTCATTGGCTAGAGCATGGACTAACAGTGTACAAGCAATTGATTGCAGCCTGAGAAGTGACTTCATTATTATTCTTCCATCATTACCGTACAATTGAAAGTCAAAAAATGACAGAAGTGAAAATAGCAGCTTTCAGGCTTGAGTGATGACATTAACTTCTCTGCATGAAGTGGATTAATTGACTATCCCAACTGAGAGAACTCTATTCAATCTGAGGGAAGAGCTCTGGTGTTTCGGTCCATTAGCTTTCATTCCGTTGTGTAATACTGTGTGAGGAGAGGGATAACATCTCAGCTTCAGTCTTTGCAAGTCTTTTACTGTTCTCAGAAATGGCTTTATTCTTCTCTGATATTCTCACAAGATATTGGAATACGGTTGGACATGAATAGATGATTTGTGGATTTTATGAAATTATTTTTAAAATGAAATAAGGTTTCATGACAGAAAAAATGAACATCCCTTTTCCAATTTAATCATTATGATGAACTCATTATTCACTTCTTTATGAATATGAAAATTATCTCAAATATTGTAGTGGCAAAGAGGCAACTCCAGAATATTCTCAAGTCTAGAAAATGTATGAAAGGCCTCATGGAGTCATAAATGGTACCAGTCATAACATTTACAGAGTGAAAGATGATGGTGTGTTGAGGATTCAGCTCCACGAACCAATAGAATTACTCAAAAAGGTGGTCAGAAGCTTCCAGGAATACGGAAGGGCTCACGGGCACTTTCTGCAGGGACCTATTTGAGGTCCTCATTGATCAAAGAGATTACAGGGGCTGAGTGAGGGAGAGATACAAGATTTGTCCAAAGACCTGGACTAGTTGAAGACATAAATCTCACAGTGGAACCATAGCTGGAGTAAGAGACCAAACCAAAAAGATAAAGGACACAGTTGAATTCGAGGAGCTATGTAGAAGGAATAGGAATTACAAGACTAAGGAAGCAGTTTGTCCTGACCAATCCAACTCCCTTTCCTTCTCCCATCTATTTAAGTTAATACGGTCTGCTTCAATCACTAACACTGGCATGACATTCTCTGGATTGACAACACGTATAAAAAGACCTACTCTCCATTCAAACCTTACAATTAGTCTCATTTCGATATTCCTCTGTTTGCTCAACCCCTGTTTCCATCTACTCTGTCCCATCCTTCATAAATTTAAAGTCTTCCATCAAATCCCAGCATAATCTTCTTTGCTTTAATGAAACAGCTGAAACTTTATCTTCATATTTGAGTTTCCTTATACCAGGCAACATCCTGGGTTCTCTCAGAGGCTCTGACATCTAATCATGTGGAGCATAAGACTGTACATGGTGTGTGATTTTAATAAAATTTTACATAAGTTCACAATTCCCTTCTCCAGTTTTATGTTCTTTGTCTCTTAGTCAATCTAGTATTCTATTTGCTTTGATCTGATCTACTTCATATGGTACGTTTCATTTCTTATGAACCCAATTGCCCCAAGTCCCTGTGTTCTTTCACATCATACCAGTCTTCCTCTGAAATATTAAAAATATAATTACGAGGTGTTTTATCCAAAACATGCCACCTCAGATTTGCTGACACAGAATTCCATCTGACTGATTCTCCACTCTACCATCTTATCCGCTTGGTCCTTAAAATTATGTACTAAGTCTCATATTTAAGTATATTAACGAGTTTGAACATCCATATATCCAAATAACTAGGGTGCCAGTTAGCTCGAAGAATAGCTCGTGGTTCACAAAAACACCAACAGTGCAAATTTGATTCATGTCCCTGCCTCCTTGCCCTGCCCCTGTGAGTGGAAGGCAACAGCAAACCATCACTAACCGAATCTGATGAGAAAACAGCTCAGGATGAAACGTCAGCAGACAATGAGGTAAGGACCTGTCTTTGGACAAAGCACACACCATCTGAAACCTGAACCTATCCGCTGCTGAAAAAGGCCAATCAATCAATAATATCTGGAAGAAAACAATATTGATTGATTCAAGATTCAATTTCCAAAGCATTAAATATACCATCTAGGGCAAAGCAATCTGCTTTGTCACATCCACCAGCTTCAACATTCACTCCCTGCATTGTTATAGTGGCAGCAATGTGTACCATCTACATGATGCACTGCTGCCACTCATTAAAACCCTTGAATAGCACCCTTTAAATCCTTGACCCTCACCACTAAGGAAGACAAGGGCAGCATGAGAAGACTACCACCTGCAAATTCCACTCCAAGCCACACACCACCATGACATGAATTATATTGCCACGCTTTCACCATTTTTAAAAATTCTCTTGTTGGAATGGGCATCACTGGCTGACCTGCATTTATTACCCATCCCTAGTTGCCCTTGAGAAGGAAAGGGTGAGCTGCCTTCTTGAACAGTTGCAATCTATTTGCTGTAGGTAGATCCACAATGCCCTTAGGGAGGGAGTTCCAGGATTTTGACCCAGAGACATCGAAGGAACAGCGATGTATTTCCAAGTCAGGACAGTGAATGCCTTGGAGGGGAACATACACGTGGTGGTCTTCCCATGTATTTGCTGCCCTTGTCCTTCCATATGGAAATGGTCATGGGTTTGGAAGGTGTTGTCTAAGGATCTTGGGCAAATTTCTGCAGTGCATCTTGTAGATAGTACACACTGCTGCTACTGAGTGTCGGCGGTAGAGTGAGTGGATATTTGTGTATGTGGTTCTAATCAAGCCGGCTGCTTTGTCCTGGATGGTGTCAAACTTCTTGAGTGTTGTTGGAGCTGCACCCATCCAGGCAAATGGGGAGTATTCTATCACACTCCTGACTTGTGCTTTGTAAATGGTGGCCAGGCTTTGGGAAGTCAGAAGGTGGGTTATTCGCTGCAGTGTTTCTAGCCTCTGACTTGCTGTTGTAACCACTGTATTTAAATGCTGAGTCTAGTTGAGTTTTTGATAAATGGTAATGCTGAGGATGTAGGGATACAGTGATGGTAACATTATTGAATGTCAAGTGTCGGTGGCTAACTTGACTCTTGGTGGGTTAAATCCTTGAACTCATTCCCTAACAGCCCTGTGGGTAAACCTACAAAATATGGACTGCAGATGTTGACGAAGGCAGCTCACGACCACATTCAATGTTCATGAGCAGTTAGGAATTTTCCATACATGCTAAACTTGTCCATGATGCTCACAGCCTATAAAAAAAACCCAACGTCTCAAGCTGTTAGAACTACAAACTCAAACACTTGTCATTTGCTTCCTTATGATAAACCATTATTTTTAAACCTGTAATAAGTAAAATCTGCTGGGCATTTTGCTATTCTTCTCACTTGATATTTCCATTATTCCTGTTTCTCTCTTGGAAACCATACAGTTGGCTTTTATTCAGGTTGTGAATGATCAAAGTACGACGTTTTTCCAATTGCATTCCTTCAATGTGTCAGAATGAATGATCAGAATTTAGGGGTAGCTTTTCTCTTGATGGGATGAAATGCTCAGTTCATCTTGGATGGTTAATCAAATCAAAAACAGAGTTGAAGGTGCACAAAGGTGCAATGACCTTTTTAACACACCACTGAATGCCATTTATGAGTTTCAGATGTTCGGTTCCTGTTCAGCAACACTGTAACATTAGATGAACAAACTTAGAGAACCAGCATTTGATAGACTCATTCTCAAACCCATTATTACCAGAAATAGCTGTGTGTTCAGGAGGACATTTTCCCTAGCTAGTACAGCCTGTTCTAACCTATCATCTACCCCCCTCTATCCCTTAAGAACACTCCTACACGCAAATTCCCACTGCAGTACATGTGGTTTCAAGGCATTTCTTTTAACACTCAGTATTTCTGTTGTTCTTAAGACTGAAATGAAGACAGAAGTGGGACACAACTAGAGGTGGGAAAATAAAATCAGGCAGGATCCAGATTGCTATCCAGTAACCCTTGGCATCCTGCAGTGATCTTCCTCTCCTCCTTTAAGGCAGTCTTTAAAACCCAGCTCTTTGGTTGTGCTTTTGATCCCCCCATCGTAATAGGTTCTTTGGCTTGCCATCCATTTTTTAGTACAACTGTAAAATGCCTCGAGGCGATTTTCTACACCAACAAGTTGTTGTTTAACGAGGCCTAGTTCGCCTGACCAGAACGTGCGGTCAAACACGAGGCAGGCTCTCTCTGGAAGAGCAGCCGCTGCTCACATCAAGGGAGGTCCATTCAGAAACTTCCTCTGTGGTCCAGTGTAAAACAGCCCCTTCTGAAAACTAAGGCATAAAGAGGAAAAATGGAAAGGAAAACAAAAATATTGGCAGACCTCAGTGGAGACACAGTGGTACCATGTTACCAGCTTGTTTGTTGCAATGTTCTCTCTATCTAACTATCTTTCCAAAGTCTTCCCTGTAATAGCATTGCTTGAGGACAGCATTTTCACCTATCAAGGCAGATACGCAGAATTTATTTTATTTTGAAAATTGCCACAACTGAAATTTACTACCTTAAAGGTTGGCGGCGGCAGATGCGGAAGTAACTTCCAAACGAGAGTCGGTATGCCTCTTAAAAGAGAAAGCAAATTGCAGGGCAAAGGGTTAATGTTAACATATGAACAAGATGATTTGTATCATGAGTGATGTAAGATCATATGATGACCAGAGTTACTGGGAGATGGCTCTATCTAAAAGCCTTCATCACAATAAAGTTAGAACACAACATGAAACAAAAGGTAATGTTTATGGACGGCTTGGACTTGCATAATCTCTATCAACTCCAGTCCCAGGTATAAGTAAATGACAATCATCAAAGTTGATAAAAGAGGCTCTAGGATAAAAACAGAGGAATGGAACTAGTGGAAAGCTTTTTCAAAAGGAGGCACAGGCACAATGGTTTAAAACACCTTCCTCCGTGCTGTATCACTCCATGATTAAAGGCATCAAAACTCTGGACTGAGCCACACAAAACCAAAGGCAAAATGTTCAAGGTCAGGGAATCACATAGTCAGCTTCCTATGTTTAGGGTGTAAGTAAAATTCCTAATGGTTCTACTTTAGCGCGGTGGCTGAGCTGTTTGAAAGAAATGGGTTAAAAGAGCACAGATAAAGAGTGAAGGACAATATATCTTTCAATCTGCTTAAAACAAACAATGTGCAGAGAAAATTAAACCTTAGTAAAATGCAGCAACTGAACTTCAAGATTTTTTTTTAATGCATTGCTAACCCTCTTACGTTTTTGAACATGTGTCTGTATCATCCTCCCTTCAGTCTAACCAGGCCATTTTCTGGAAACAACATTGGCAACAGCCTGCACAGGAACTCTACCAAGACTAAACCATTGGTGTGTGAAGAAATTCTGCCTCCAGTTTTATTCTTTGTGTAGGAATTGCCTGAGAAAAAAAATCCTAAATTTATCTCATCCATATCCTAACATCCTGGTCACTGGAAGAAACGATAATTTTTTTTTTCTTTATTCATTCACGGGATGAGGGCTTCGTTGGCCAGGCAGCATTTATTGCCCACCCCTAATTGCCCAGAGGGCAGTTAAGAGTCAATCACATTGTTATGGGTCTGGAGTCACATGTAGGCCAGACCAGGCAAGGATGGCAGTTTCCTTCCCTAAACGACATTAAAGAACCAGATCTTTACCATGGACGTCCAGTCCCTCTACACCTGCATTCCCCATGCAGATGGCCTTAAGGCCCTCCGCTTCTTCCTGTCCCGCAGGCCCGACCAGTCCCCCTCCATTGATACCCTCATCCGCTTAGCTGAACTCGTCCTCACACTCAACAACTTCTCTTTCAATTCCTCCCACTTCCTACAGACAAAGGGGGTAGCCATGGGTACCCGCATGGGCCCAAGCTACGCCTGCCTCTTTGTAGGTTACGTGGAACAATCCCTCTTCCGTACCTACACCGGCCCGAAACCCCACCTCTTCCTCCGTTACATTGATGACTGTATCGGGGCCGCCTCGTGCTCCCACGAGGCGCTCGAACAGTTCATACACTTCACTAACACCTTCCACCCCAACCCTATGTTTACCTGGACCATCTCTAACACTTCTCTCCCCTTCCTGGACCTCTCTGTCTCCATATCGGGCAACCACCTAGAAACCGATATTCATTTCAAGCCCACCGACTCCCACAGCTACCTAGAATACTCCTCCTCCCACCCACCTTCCTGCAAAAATGCTATCCCCTATTCCCAATTCCTTCGCCTCCGCCGCATCTGCTCCCAGGATGAGGCATTCCACTCCTGTACATCTCAGTTGTCCTCGTTTTTCAAGGACCGTAACTTCCCCTCCTCGGTGGTTGAGAACGCCCTCAACCGTGTCTCCCACATCTCCCGCACCTCATCCCTCACACCCCGTCCACGCAATAAGAACCAAAAAAGAATCCCCCTCGTCCTCACGTACCACCCCACCAACCTCCGGATCCAACGCATCATCCTCCGACACTTCCGCCATCTGCAATCCGACCCCACCACCAAAGACATCTTTCCCTCCCCACCCTTATCTGCTTTCCGGAGGGACAACTCTCTCCGTGACTCCCTTGTCCGCTCCACACTCCCCTCCAGCTCCACCACACCCGGCACTTTTCCCTGCAACCGCAGGAAGTGCTACACCTGCCCCCATACCTCCTCCCTCACCCCCATCCCAGGCCCCAAGAAGACTTTCCACATCAAGCAGATGTTCACCTGCACATCTGCCAATGTGGTATACTGCATCCGCTGTACCCGGTGTGGCTTCCTCTACATCGGGGAAACCAAGCGGAGGCTCGGGGACCGCTTTGCAGAACACCTACGCTCGGTTCGCCATAAACAACTGCACCTCCCAGTCGCGAACCATTTCAACTCCCCCTCCCATTCCTCAGATGACATGTCCATCCTGGGCCTCCTGCAGTGCCACAACGATGCCACCCGAAGGTTGCAGGAACAGCAACTCATATTCCGCTTGGGAACCCTGCAGCCCAATGGTGTCCATGTGGATTTCACAAGTTTCAAAATCTCCCCTCCCCCTACCGCATCCCAAAACCAGTCCAGCTCGTCCCTGCCTCCCTAACCTGTTCTTCCTCCCACCTATCCCCTCCTCCCACCTCAAGCCGCACCTCCATCTCCTACCGACCAACCTCATCCTGCCCCCTTGACCTGTCCGTCCTCCCTGGACTGACCTATCCCCTTCCTAACTCCCTACCTACATTCACCTTTACTGGCTCCATTCCTGCCTCTTCGACCTGTTTGTTTCCTCTCCACCTATCCTCTCCTCTATCCCTCTTCTATCCGCCTCCCACTCTCTCCCTATTTATTTCGGAACCCCCTTCCCCTCCCCCTTTTCTGATGAAGGGTCTGGGCCCGAAACGTTAGCCTCTCTGCTCCTATGATGCTGCTTGGCCTGCTGTGTTCATCCAGCCCTGCACCTTGTTGTCTCGGATTTTTCCGACAATCGACAATGGATTCAAGGTCACCGTAGGTTCTTAATTCCAGATATTTGTTGAATTCAAATTCCACCATCTGCCGCGGCAGGATTCCAACCCAGGTCCCCAGAACATTATCTGGGTCTCCGGATTAACAGTCCAGCGATAATACCACTAGGCCATTGCTTCCCCATCAGCTGTTGACCAACCATGGCAAAGAATTTTCATCATTTAATCTACAATCAGGTATAAACGAGGAAAACTTGCTCAATGGCGAAGAGTTTTGAAAGTCCACTCAAGCATGCTACACACACCACACTCCATGGACAGAAAGTTCAGACGGATGTGTCTTCCCACCGATTACAACAATCCCACAGCAATTTTATGCTCAAAGGAGGGTTAGTTGTCAGAGACTACCTGAGTGAGGGGTGGAGGTCCTACCTTAGAGAGCTGCCCGAACAGTGCCACTGTCAGCAGTGGTCAAGCACTCCTCAGATTCTAAATCATGGCGTCTGGGAACCAGGAAAATGCATGTGGGTGTCGGAATGTGGTGTCATGGGTTTGACGAGCAGTGGGGATGGAGATGGGGACAGGAGGGATAGGGGTCTTGATGAAGAAAGACTGGTGAAGAGGCAGCACCCTTGGGACGCAAACTTCGGTGAGGGGAGGCCCCTTATGTACAAAGGGAGCCCTCAAGAGGGACACCCCTCTCAGTCCCCTACCCCCTAGGCCCAAGCAAAGTGAGCCATTGGATGTAGCCCTGAACACCTCCCCCCTTGCCTCAGAATTAATTAAAGCTGGGCAGGAAGTAGGTCTGGTCAATAATCAGCATCTGAAAATTCAGCTGAGAAATTTCATATCCCTCTCACCACCCCACCTCACCACTGTCCTACACCTTGCTGGCTAACCCAATAGTAGGGGGCTGTAAAATGTTGTCCGAATACTCAAAATCGTCTTAAACCAGATCCCCAATACACTGTAACTTCTCCAATCTGGAATAACTGGGACTGCATTTGTTCTGAATTTAGGAATTTTCCAGATTATACAATCATATTAGAATACCCAACCACAAGTGTTTGAACCCTAAAACAGGGTATATATTAGTCATAAAACATTATAAGTAATAAAAATAGTTCTGCTTGCACAAAATCTTTCATAATGTCATAGTCATACAGAATGGAAACAGAACATTCGGTCCAACGAGTCCATGCTGACCATGTTCCCAAATTAAACTAGTCCCACCTGTCTGTGTTTGGTCCATACCCTCCACACCTTTCCTATTCATCAGCTTATCCAAATGTCTTTTAAACATTGTAACTGTACCTGTAACCACCACTTTCTCTGGAAGTTCATTCCACACACGAACCACTCTCTGTGTAAAAAAGTCACCCCTCATGTCTTTTTTAAATCTTTCTCCTCTCATTTTAAAAATATGCTCCCTAGTTTTGAACTTCTCCATCCTGGGGAAAAGACTCTTGTCATTCACCTTATCTATGCCCTTCATGGTTACATAAACTTCTATAAGATCACCCTTCTACCTCCTACGCTCTAGTGAAAAAATTCCTAGTCTTTCTAGTCTATTTTTATATCTTAAGAATAATCCATTCCTGGTAAATGGATGACAACATTCTGGTAAATCTTTTCTGAACCCTCTCTAGTTTAATAATATCCTTCCTATAACTGGGCAACCCACACAGTACTCCAGAAGAGGCCTCACCAACGTCCTGTACAACCACAACATGATGCCCCAACTCCTATACCCAAAGGTCTGAGCAATGAAAGCAACGTGCTAAACACCTTCTTAACTACCCTGTCTACGTGTGAATACATTTCAAAGAATTATGTACCTCAACCCTTAGGTCTCTCTGTTGTACAACATTACACAGGACTCTGCAATTATAAGTCCTGTCTTTGTTTGTATTACAAAAATGCAATACCTTACATTTATCCAAATCAAACTCCATCTGCCACTCTGCTCCAAAAGTATTTGACCAAAATGATGCTTGGGTCTCCTTAAAACAACTTCTGAAAATTCATTGTTTGAAAACACCAGTTGTCTGAGTGAAAAAGTACAATATATGTTATTTTCTGTGGGTTCGTGGTTAGCTCCCACTTAGCATCTTCATCAGTGGCATGTGGAACTGAGCACATGAAA